GAGGGGGTCTGATATGTACTTCTGAACCTTGATATTTTATTTTCCCTGGCACAACAGGTGGGAGACTTTATCGTGTTCACGCAATTTGCGAATCTGAAGCCAGATCTTTTCATGTTGGATGGATCAACCGCACTGAATATGTCAGACAACATGCTGTCCGGAAACGGGGTCATTCACGGGGATTGGTACTACAGCACTCCTGATCAGTCTATAACCTATGCAGGTAAGCACATGTGCTCTTTTCTCACAACCCAGCAAGTGTAGATGTATTATGATTTGTTCGGATATGGTGATATCTTAGCGATTTTGTCTGCTTCTCATTTTCGTCAGAGTACGAGGCGTTTTTTCTAGAAAACTTGGTGTACATTATTGTAACTGTTTATCACATGTTTGGTGTGTGTGTGTTTTCTTCATAATTCGCTGGCGCTCAGGCAGAAACGTAAGCGTCCGTAATGAGTTGTGTGGAGTTGAGTTTCGAAAGGAACAAGTAGCGGGGAAGGATAAGCTTGACAGGGTCAGGCTCAAAGTGCACAAAGATATTTTTATAGATTAGCTCGAAATATAGAATATTTCGCGTTTGGCTACTGTTGTTTTCAGCGGTTGTTGTCTTAATTAGTGTGTTGGCGTCGGGAAAGGGGGGGGGGGGAGACTTATTTTGTTTGAGTTTTTTATTTTGTCTTTTCAATCTAAATTATCTTCAAAACCATATTTCTCATTCTCTCTGCCCCCTACTCTTTACTTAATCCAGTTCAAAGATTGAGCAGAAGAAAGAAACGTGGAGCTGGTGGAGTCAGTTTAACAGATATGGATTTGAAGATTGACACTCGCATCATCCGCTGCTACTATCGTGGCTGCAAACCACCACCCAAGCCAATGGAGTTGAGAGACTTACCCAGTCACATCGAATATTGGTCTGATCTAAACACTTGGGTCAACTTCACGTCGGACGGGTTGCCTCCTGAAGACTATGACAACCTGACCATACCTATCGGTAATGTCTTTTTTTTTCTTTAATAATTTTGATTTGTTTTTGTTTTTTGGGTGTGTGATACATTAGTTATCGTTTTGTGGTATGATTATTTGCAGTTTTGTTTTGGGGAGTTTCTTTTTTATATGTATATTTTTGGAGGGGGGAATTGGTTTTCTTTTTGTTTGTTTTGCTTTTTCCTTTCGTTGGGTTTTTCACCTTATGCACCTCCATGTTTGTTAACACTTGTCATTTCTCTGCTAGAACTTGTGTACTTTACAGCGTCAACATTTTTCAGCGTATCTTTACATTTCAAAAAGCTAGATCATAATATCTTGTTTTAGAAGGGAAAGGAGATCAAGGACATGGTCGCATTTGATGTTACAAGAGAAAAAAAAACAGATGACAAAGCTTCTCTCTATCTCTGCCACTATTCTCCTTCTTCCCGACTCTCTCTCTCTCTCTCTCTCTTGTCGCTCTCTCTCTCTCTCTCTTTCTCTCTCTCCGTCTCTCTCTCTCTCTCTCTCTCTCTCTTTCTGTCTTTTTCTTTCTTTGTTGCTCACTCTCTTTTTGACTCTTAACCAGAACATACTTCTACCTCAGTTCGCACATATATTAATCCTCATGTAAAAGATACATCCCTGAAGAATGAGGATTGCAATACATAATTTAGCTCCTTTGTATATCCACATGTGTTTTTACCATTCCTGTAAAGGGTTAGAAAAAAATTCTCATTGGGACAATAAAGTATCCTGTGAATTGAAAGTCGGTGAGTTGGGCCACGCAATCCTCATGTAGGTGTCCATTCCTCTCGTCACACAGACAAGTACATCATAGTGGACGTGCCTATCCCCAAGCTGAGCCACGTCATTGTCGACGGAGGTCTGGAGTTTTCTGAGAATAATACGGCGGATATTCTTCTCGAGGCGGATTACATCCAAATCACCGGCAGAGTCATTGCAGGGTGGGCCACTGACAGACCTTATACTGGAAATCTGATCATCAGACTGAGAGGAAACCATCAGTCTCCAGTGTATCCAACAAACGGCGTGCCACTAGGATCAAAGTTCATTGGTAATATTTGGTCTCTTAAACTTACAGAAAGGACGATAGCTTTAGAGTCTTGACATTTACAAAATAGGCATTCTTTCTGTGTGTAATGATTATTTCTTTAAGTACGAAACTTAAGTATGAGGTGTATCTTTTATGCCAAATGGAGGCCCAAGAGTATGAATTGTATCATATGAAAGTGGCATTAGACCCACAATAAAACATCCCGTGTTTGAAATTTCCAAATGAGATTCCCTTTGCTTTCTTTTACCAGACGTAACTGAACAAGCTGCAGTATAAAAATGAGAGATTCGTAATAAAAAAAATCTGCAATCCTGACAATGCCATATTCTGATATTGTCATGATTTCTGAACTTTATCTTTTCACAGGCGTGTTCGGAGGTCTTCAACTGCATGGTGTGGATAAGGGTCTAACTAAGACTCACTTAGCTGAGACTGTGGACTCTGGAAATGAGATAAAAGTTGTGGACGCTGTCAGCTGGGCTGTTGGTGATGACATTCTCCTCACAACGACTGACTATAACCCTTGGCATTCAGAGGTCTTCAAGATCACTGCCATTTCTGGGACAACCATAACTTTGAACAGCACTATACAGCACAGGCACATTTGTAAGGATTAGTAACTACAAAAGTAAAGATTAAAGCTGAAGCGATATTCTATAGGTCGGTTACACCATTTGAAAAAGGTTGCACAAAGACCCTCTATTCCTTTTACTGAACAAACATGAACCGTTGAAATGATTGAATATCCTGTGAGAAACGCATTAAAACATTACATGTGTATTTTTTTTCTTCATAGTGTTGCTGTTTACAGTTTTTGCTGCTCTAGTTAGATAATTGTTTAACGCAAAGTACATAATATATCAATGTTACTTCGTGACGATAGTGGTCAATATGGTCTATTGCGCTCTGGAGGTTAAGTTGTTACTTATGTCAGATTCTTATATGTATAATGCAGACCGGTTTTAATACTCTATTGCGGGTGTCTATTATTGTTTGATGCTATTTTGTTTCTATTGAGAATAGCTGCTGCATCAGCCAGTGACATGTAGAGAGAGAGAGAGAGAGAGAGAGAGAGAGAGAAAGAATGTGTGTGAATGTGTGTGTGATTGTGAGTGAGCGAGTGTGTGTGTATATGTGTGTGTGTGTGTGTGTGTGTGTGTGTGTGTGTGTGTGTGTGCGCTCGCATGTGTATGTGTTTATGAAAGCGTGTGTGGATGATATCACTTTCATTCTTTCAATTACAGCTCACACTGAAACCATCAACGGTCAAGATATTCATCTAAGGGCTGTTGTGGCCGTGCTGACCAGGAACATCCGAATTGAGGGAGAAGAATACCCTGATATGATCTCTGAATCGTTTGGTGCTCGTGTGATTGTTGGACAAAACCTTATTGGAACAGAACAACACAGTGGTCAGTGGATGCTTCGTGAAGTTACAGAATGACGTTATCAGTTATTTTTTTGTGTAAATTTTAGTTGTCCATTTTTTTATTCTTTACTTTTTCTTTCGCACAAACATGTTAAATTTTTGGCCCTGTGTGCTGCTTCTGTTTACATCGGGTTATTGTTATTTAGTTCCTTTCGCCACACCTTGCTTTTCTTCACCCCCTTTGCCTTCACTCCAGAATAGTGCTGTTCATTTTCCTTATACATTCAGCCGCCAGCAAAAGACTTTAAATCCTTTGAGTACTATTGTAACAATGTGTTCTAGTTTTATATAACGTATAAACAGCTTTTCCTGACTTTATTTTGAGGTTTTTTTTAAGAATCATTAAGGATAAGGGATGGATCGAAGTTGCAAAGTATATTTTACTGTTATTTTAATGCTATTTCAAATTTTAGAATGTTTTAAAGAAAGCTCTTTATTTTGTTCGTTTCCATTTCTCCTCAGGTTTTGCCCAGATCAGTAATGTGGAGTTCTACCACACCGGCCAGGAAGGTTTCAGTCAGAACTATGACCCACGCTTCTCACTTACCTATATGGACGTGACCTCGACAGAAGGAGAAATCCGTTACTCTTACGTAAAGAAGAGCACTTTCCATTCAGGATTTAACACTGCCATTGGAGCGTTTGCTGTTGACGGACTGGAGATTGATGATAACGTCGTGTACCACACTGTAGGCCAAGGTAAACGTTTGACCAGTACCCCCAGATATGGTGTCTTGGACAATATTCTATATCTAACCATATGCTCAGGGTATAGATGTAAAAAAAAATCCAAAGATTGTTTTCCATCGTCTCCTATTTCCAGCTGTTCCCTACCTCTTACTCTTGAAACATCTCAGTTAAACTGCAAAGGAGTTTATCAACTCAATTGCTTAAAAGAATGAGACACGACATTTTTGTAGATTTATTGGTGGAGTTTAACAAGCTTTAATCAAAGAGCAGAAGAAAACAAAAGGAATGTTTTTGCTGAGTTTTGTGGGAAGGAGGGGGTAGTACGTTTTACGGCACTTGCAACAAAATAAGACCTGCCTTAAGGCCATATTATTTACAAGTGCCGAATATTAGTGGCGCTACAAAAGAGGTTTTGGCGGCTGGAATGGGCTCGAGAGCAAATATGTAATCTACTGGTGGAAATGTTTTCCTTTCCAACTACTCGTCACAAGGGGGCAAGATCATATTATTTGGTTTTCATCTTTGTCAGGCATACGCACGGAGGCAACCGGCACAAAAATCACCAACAACTTAGTCGCCTTGAGCATCTGGACGGGGACTTACCTTGATCGCTATGAGCCGATAAACATGGAGTACCCAGGTGCCATAGACGGCCTCCTCGCCACTGATCTCGTCTTGGTCAACAACACCGTGGCTGGCGCCGAAAGATTTGCCTATTCTTTGGGTGGACAAAGTTGTAGCACTCTGGACGCTGACCTGTGGAGTGGAAATATGGCCCAGGGTGCACTTCTTGGTAAGGTTCATTTAAGGCACATAAAACAATACCTTTCAACTAGGGCCCTTTATTGCCTCTGGTGGGTGGCCTGGTATTAACGGCTTTTATTATATCTTTTCTTTAACTTGATACTAGTACCGGTAACGAACTCCAACTGACGTTTGATCTTTCAGAGCTCTTGACATAATGTTTGACTAAAGAACATTTATTTTTCGTACCCCCCTTAATGCGGGTGATGAATGTTTCCTTTGTTGTTGTTATCGATCCAGGAATGTTTCCGTTAAAATCTTATGATTATGGTTGAAAAACTGTTCTTTTGTATGATGTCTATGACAACAGCATACACTTCTAGAGCCTTTAAGCAGTTTATACCATTTGATAACCATCTATACCATTTGATAAAGAAGGAAAACCTTATGCTTACGCAAGTTACTTGGATGTTAAATCTTGAACTTGGAGCTGTAAAATAAATATTTGCCAAAATTTTGCCGAACGCCATCACACCAGTTTGGTGTTTCAACACACGTACATACTCATATGCACACTCTTTAACACATCCTCACTTCCATACACCTATACACAGACGCCCATAATGTGCTTATGCTCACAAACGAACCCACAGTCATACACATAGAGTAAACATGAACAACTGTTAACAATTATGTCAACACTAAATACATAAACAGTATTCTGATAGTACTCCAATAGTATCTCTAATTACTAATAGTGTTAGTGCTTTGCTTTGCGCCTTAATGATATTAAATTAATTATTACCTTGCTATGTTCCCACAGGTGTTGGTCTGTTTTCTGAGGATCCGCCAGCTGATAGTTCGTGCACAACCTACAGTGGCTTCACCTTGTGGAAGAACCTTGATTTTGGAATCTACTACAATAGTGTTCCTAGTGCGGTATTCAAAAACAACATATTTGTCGAGAACGGCGTCGGCATATTCCCTTTCGTTATGGGTCCAGCTTCGCTTTCTCATGCGTATCAAGACAAATACTCTGAAGTCAGCAACAATATCTTTATTGGAAAGACGAGCACATTCTCCGAGAGTCTGGATGTCCTAGATAAGTCTGACCATAACATACAACTGAGTGTCATGGCTCGTTCCCATGGCTCTGGAAGTGCTTGCGGTAAAATCGGGATGGAAATGACAATTTTTACCAGTGGTCCAAATGGAATTCCATCCCATCCTCTCGTTGGCATCATGTCTTACCAGACACTTAAAGGCATTACCAGGGTAACAGGTGAGTCCATCTCTCTCTCTCTCTCTCCCTCTCTCTCTCCCTCTCTCTCTCTCTCTCTCTCTCTCTCTCTCTCTCTCTCTCTTTCTCTCTCTCCCCCATTCTCTCTCTCTCTCTCTCTCTCTCTCTCTCTATCTCTCTCTCTCTCTCTCTCTCTGACACTGAATTTTTTTTGTTTAAGCCTAGAAAATCCACATCGGCAGCGTAATGGCCATTACGTGCAGGGGAAAAGAACAACTGTACAAAACAAGGGTCCAAGAAGAACGTATGTTTACTCTTAGCATAGAATGTCATAATTCAAGCGAATGTTCTTCCATTGTAAATGTTGCTACCTGTATTCCAGCCTTATTTGCTCTTTCTCATAACATCAATTCGCTTAAATATAAACTTTAATAAACTGAACTTAAGTTGAGAAGGTTATTGTTCTGAAGGAAAGGACGCCGACTAAAGTCACTGTAATCTGTGTCTTGTAAGGATATGACAGAACTACCGTTTTTTTTTTTTTGTCCTGCAGGTAATACTTTTGCTAACTGGGGAGCTTGCACAGGCGGTTATGATCATGCCATCTCCACCAGCAAGGGCAACGATGATGGAAACCACCCTCTCCATATTACAAGCACCACCCTAGTGAACACGGAAATGGAAGCGAAAGTGTTCTTCCACCCACCAAATGTTGGGTGAGATACATTCTTTCAACTCCAGCAAATTATGGAAGCTAATGAAGTTGAAGAAAATAATCTACAGTTGGAGTTTCGCACTTTTAATGTCCACGGTGGCGGTTGTCTCGCCTGTCTTGGGAATGGCATTCCCTCTCAGATCATCGTCTTGTCAGGAGATCAATAGCTCCCCGTTTCAAAATGATGTGTCTGTATCTAGAGGGGACTTGAACCTCCTCAAAAAATAGAATGCTAACTTGTCCTTTGTCATTTATTAGGGTTTTGGGGTTGTTGATTATGGGGGGGGGGGCGGGGTAATTTAAGTTGTTGTCCCCCCCACCCCCCAAAAAAAATTGGGCCCTTGATTTTTATTACTTTTTGTTCATCCCCCTTTGACAGCAAAATCAACTCTGCCGATTGTGTTGATATGGACTGTGATGGGCTGAAAAAGTGTATGATAAAGGATTTGGACGGCACTTTCTTGGGCCATAACGGTACAATTCTACCTGACTCAGCCTACGAGTGGGATGGAGACCGGAGACATGGGCTGGGAGACTACAGGATTCCTTCAGTCATGTTGACTACAAGCAATGGACAGAAGATTGACGTGAATAGCTATGCTCCCAATAAAGGTAAGAATGGGTGTTGGGGGCATCCAAATGAGCTGCCCGTTGGGATGTAGCTAGTTGTAAAGTTGATAAAAGTAGCAAAGTTCAGGTTCGAACTCAGGAAATGCTTCTCGACATTTCTCGTCTGAACTGAGAGACTTTTTTCAGCCCGAGATCCAGCTAATGGGTTGAATGTCTCGTTTTTTAAGTGATCTAGTCAACTAGATTTCTTCACGTTCAGAGGGGAAAAGGTTTCTCTAGGTTTTTTAAAATAGTTTAACTCATGTGGTGCTTCACATTCATGGTTTCATCGGATGTTATTTTGCTTGTTCTATTAGAAGTGCACAATGTTAACAGGAGGGGCCTCAGAACACTGCTGACTGAACGAAACAAGACACTAATTATGACAAACTTATTTCCCCCTTTAGTGTTGTTTCTTGGGGAAACTGCAGTTGTTGTTGTTTGTTTTATTCTGAGGTTGGAAACTGCCCTGTACTTCTCAGCCAGCATTGGCATCAAGATCAAGCTTCTCTTCTTTGATTGAGAGGCAGGATATATTGCATAACTCAAAATCTCTGCCGTGGTCTGCTTTTCACTTGCAGCACTGAACGGAAATCCGAGATAGCCGGAGCGACAACCTCATTCCTCATTATATGGACGTTAAACTTTAGATAATACAGTTTACTGCATGTTGGTTTTGAAAGGGTGATCTCTCTTCGATCCAAGAACACCCATAGCTTCACTGCCCTTCACCACACAGTCCACGAAAAAATTACCCTGTTTACAATGACAAAAGTAACTTTGTTACTAAAATTACATTGTCTTCTGCTCTGCGCTTCTTACGAGCTCCTCTTCCCTAATTTCATGTTATTTTCCTTACGTTACCAGATAGTTACATGAGTGTCATATTGTTATCTTTTCCAGGTATTTACAAAACAGACAATTGCACCTGGGTCTCGGAATGGCGAGCGTATAACTGTGAAGACTTCTACGATTGGAGAATGCTGGTTATTGAGAGCATGGATTCAGACACAGAGACTCGAAGACTCAGTCCACTAGCTATCTATAACCCTGAGGGATATGTTGACCTCATCAATGGGCCACAGGTGAGCGTTGCTGTAAAGATAACAGTGTGAGCCTATAGGCTGTATCGCTGAGTGTCTCCATGGGGGCTTAGTTGCTCAATCAGAATGAAGGGACTGACAAGCAGTGGTAAGGGGATAGAGAGAGAGAGGGGGGGGGGGAGCGACTGATACGTAATGCATTTTAATTCCTCCTTATTTCTTTGTGAAGACGCACTTTTAGTGATATTTTGCTTGGAGTTTTAAGTTACATTACAATTTATGCACAGCCGGAAGATCAAGAATTTGGATTATGCCTGTGCAGTTTCTGCGCTTGGGGGGGGGGGGTGTAAGCCTGTATATTTATGGAGGGGGGGTTGTATCTGATGTGTACACGCCTTTTTATCTATTGAAGATTCAATTTCTTTGTCTTTTACTTTTAGTGGACGCAGGAAAGTGTGTCTGTATATGTGTGTGTGGAGGGGAGGGTGAGTGAAAACAGAAAAAGTGAAAAAAGTAAAGGTTAAATGAAATAAGACGTTGAAAGAGTAAGGAGAGGTAAACGAAAATTTAAGAACACATGAACTCAATGTCATCAAGAGTGGGAACTTTTATTCCTTGATACGTGGGGCTGTGGTTTGAATAAGTGCACAATTACAAAGATTTGAATCGAATAACTTGATAATAATTGCAACTTTTCCAATGTGTTTGAACGACGAGTGTGACAGGCAGCTACATTGATTGTCGTTTTGTGTATACTCTTTTGTCAGATTACGGGCGGATAATTATATTATATGATCGCTGTACATGGGCTAATATGTATGAAGCGTGGCATGTGTAATCTGTTGAGATCGTATTTTATTGTGAAGCACTTAGAGCAATAGATGTGATCTTTATTATAATTGTTATTATTTCTGAAACATCTTTTCAGGATCATGGCTGGTGCAGCGGTTACACTTGCCGCAAACGTCTAAGTACTTTCCAGGCCATCGTTGCGTTAGGTAAAGAACTAGCTTTGTATTCTCTTTCCTTTTCACAATCGTAAATGTTATGTCATTGCATGAGGATTAGATGGAGTAGTAAAAAGCAGTGGTTCTGATGTTGCGATGACAGCAGCAATAACATCCATCCCCTCCACCATATTTGTGTTTGTTTGTTGTTGTGTGTGGTGGGGGGGGGGGGGGTTCGCGTAAACGCCCATGCATTTTCTAATGACGCACATAAGTTTTATGAAAAACTGACGTTGGTTGGATGACAGAGCAGAGGACCATTAATGGCGCTAATCATTTTGAGGGGAAGACAGACAGACAGACAGACAGACAGACAGACAGACAGACAGACAGACAGACAGACAGACAGACAGACAGACAGACAGACAGACAGTAAAAGAGAGAGAGAGAGCGAGAGAGAGAGAGAGAGCGAGAGAGAGAGAGAGAGAGAGAGAGAGAGAGAGAGAGAGAGAGAGAGAGAGAGAGAGAGAGAGATCTGCTTTCTACTACCATGCTTCCTTTTAAATAATCAATGTTAATAGTGGCTCGAAACATAACAAATACAATGGTTTTGTTTTTCTCTTTCAGATCAGCCCTTTGACATGTTCCTGTCCAGTTCCAACCCCAGAAAAATGAGATACATGCTTCTGAATTCACAACCAGACGAGTGTGTCCGGCTGGGCATGCATTACTTGAACCAGAACCGTTTGCAAGTTTATGTAGATGGTGTCCTGAAGATGCCCACAAATGGCTATATCGACGGTAATGGCAGGTTCAGGCTGAGGCTTCAGAATACCAATCATATGTGGATGCCTGATGTGAGAAACAAGGTCAACGGTGAAAATTATCTAAGGTAACTTTGATGCTTCTCAGCTGTAAAGTGTTTAGTACGCTAACCCATTGGGCTCTAGACGCTATACAGGAAGAAGGAAATCCGTCATTCGAGTGACATTCTAGCTCTTAAAATAGTTTGCATTTATCGATACGTATTCGTGAACAGACGCATACCCTCACGAGTCCAAACAAACTCACACTAATTGTATTTTTGACGACAGATAAGAATTGAGATTTCTTTTGGTGGTTTTTAAATAAGTGATAGATCTTAAATTCATTGGACAATTCGTTCCAAAAGGTCAGAGAATGTGCTTCTGAAGACGTATGCACTGTGTTAAAACCAGGTTTGCTCTAAGCTAGTTGATCTGAGGCTTCGTGGTGAATGGCAAGGGTCAGGAGGGCCTGTGATCAGTAAAATATATGTCAGCTTTGTGTCACTTCTCATTGCTTTTCTAAAAGAAAGAAAGGAAGATACAAAAGAGTATAGTATAAAGCTACTGTCGGAATAAATGTCAATGTGTATTGCTGTTAATTTTTAAATAACACGATACATAACTCAATCATAAATGTATCTAAATAACTCGAAATGTCTGTGATAAATTCCAGTATGTGGTTGAAAGATGAATCTGATGTGATATGTGTATTATTTGTCAGCTGTACGTTTCTCCTCATATTGAATTTGAATGAGCGTAACATATAACTTAAATTCTATGTATACCTGCTTGTGTTTTTATCATTCCTGTACAACCAAGAAAAATGTCTCATGATGAAGGCAATAAAGTATCATCTTATCTTATCTTGACACAGTCGAGCAGAGAGCATGATTTTCTGGGTTGTTTGCGGTGACTCCGAAGTGCTCGTCGACACAGAAGATGTCTTTTTGGTCTCCTTCGCTTTGCCAGCAATGACTGACGCAGAATTCTTCGGAGAGAAAATAGTTGAAAACCTTGCCGGTTTTCTGAATATGGACCCAAGCAAGGTAAATTTACTTAGATAGATTTTTTAGAATCCACTTCCTCGCTCTTTACGTTTTGTTTGTTCGTAATTTGCTCATATTCCAGTATTTACCTTGCACGGGTCTGGGCCGCTACAACAACTGTAAATAATTTTTTTATTCAACCCCAGAGGGTTAAGCTTCAAGAAACAGAAGGAAATCAGAATCTGATACGTTCGAGGAATACAAATGCGAGGAATTTACAAGTAGCTGATCTTATTAACTTTCATTCGCCCAATATCAGAGTGCTCAAATTCTATTTTACTCTCACGTTTGCATTTGTCTGTTGTTATTCTTATATATTTCATATTATTGAAAGTTGTGTTTCTTTTATCTTTTTCGAATTGTCATTGTTATTGTTAGTATCGTCATCATGGAGAGTCTTCATTGATCTACAGACAAAAAGTATAAATAAAAATATTAAACATTTGGTTTAATAAAGCATATCATCATCATCATCATCATCATCATCATCATCATCATCATCATCATCATCATAATCATCATCATCATCTGATTCCTCCTCAGGTGCGCATCGTGAACATTGTAGAGGACACGTCAACATCTGGTCGACGCAAGCGACAGGCAACAGGCACCACTACCTTCTACGTGGAGATCGGTGACAAGCCCGGGGACACGCCCACTGTTGACTACGAGACTGTGGGAAAACAGATTTGTAACCAGGTGAGAACGGAATGTCTGTTTTGTTTTTTTTGTGGGTTTTTTTGTTGTTGTTGCTGTTGTTGTTGTTGTTGTAGTTGTAGTTGTTGTTGTCGTTGCTGTTGTTTTTGTTGTAAGTGTTTTGCTGCACTCAGAGCAGCATACGGTCATATGAGCAAGCAGGAAAAAATGATATTACGCATTTTCAGTTTGGTAGGAATTAGTTTTGAATTTTGTCCGGGTGGCGGCTAAAGCTTACTCTTATCGACTTTAGACCATCCAAGGATCTCAAATACTGCACACAAGGGTTTTTGTGTTTGTTTGTTGTTATGTTGTTTTGTTTTGTTTTTTTGGTGTGTTTTTTTTTGGGGGGGGGTTGTTTTGTTTGGGGGTTGTTGGGTTTTTGTTTTGTTTTTGTTTGTTGTTGTTTGTTTGTTTTTGTGGGGGGGTTTTGGGGGGGTAGTCTTGTTTGTTTAAGCGCACTTTTTTCGGATTTTGCACATTTCATTTTTCCCTAACGTTTTGAATTCGCAATCTGAGTCGCCCGGTTGTATATGTTCCGATGTAGTAGTAGTGCGCCTTGTGAAGTTTCCCGATCGACTTGATTCGCGAATTTCTTTTAGAATCGTGAAAATAACGAATTCATTCAAGTCGCACTGGCAAAACATAATGAGATACAACAACTCTACACTTTGAAAAGAAAGGTGCCCCACCTGACTGCCCGCTATATGACTGCCAGGATGACACAGTATCACACCATCTCTTTACCTGCCCTGCACTTAGCACCCTACGTAGCACCTACCTACCTGCCTCCCCAGATATCAAAAATCTGTCCCTGTCGTTTTAAGGGGGGGAGGCTACACCTGGAGGCTATCTCGCTTATTACTGGACCGAATTTTACCAAATTTCACACATATAACAAGCATAGTAAGGAGTCTTAAAATCTGCAATCAAATTTGAGGAAAAAAGTTTTGTTTCCATGGATATGCCGCCATATTGGATTTTATTGACATGTCTTACGTAATGAATACCGCACTTATCGCTCATGAAAATTGATTGGGTTTTTTTGCATGCGTGTTTACAAACATCAGATCTAAAAATTTGTTTGTCGTTTTTTTCCTAATCGAATTAGAAAATTTTTAATGAATTTTTTCCCGAGGTAGCATTCAAGTTTGCGAAAAATCCGTGAAAATCCACACTCCACACACCACCAACAAAAATCTATTCCATATATCAAAAATTCAACAAACAAATTTTTAGTATTACCTCTTCTCTTCAATCTGTGAAAATTTCATGAAGATTGGATGAAAAATGGTGGAGTTATTCAAAAAAGTATAGAGAAATGTCGCATTTTGAGGAAACGGCCGATAAAGAAAAATAAAATACTGACTTTATGAGGAAATGGCGGTTACAAACATGCCCGGTATGGGAAAAAAATACGGTTTTGGGGGGTTCTTATGCCATGAAATAGTTGTAGGAGAGGCTGAGGAAGCTAAAAATGCCTACAACTCAAATTCCATGATTTTGAGCCGAATTTTGATTTTGGGGGTGTACCCCCCCCCCCCCCCCCCCTAGCAAGAAAAATTCTGAAATTATGCAAACTGAGCCCAAACATGTGAAATTATGCGATTCTGTTAATTTTAAACAAAGAATGATAAAGAAAATAATCAGAAATTATGCAAAAAAGGATCAAATTTTGCTAAATTATGCGGGGTGCATAAAACCACGTGGACAGAGAAATACACGTACTTTATGCAGCGACAAAAACAGCTGATAAAAACCTGTCAATTCCTTGCCATGTCGAAAGGCCGCTGGGTCGGAAAAGTAAAGTAAGAGAAAAGTAAAAGAAAGGTAACCGCTTCTTCTCTCTCACCTCAGGCCCAGCTGTACACGTTTGACGACATCATCAACGCTACCGTCTTGTACGTGTCGGTTCTAGAACCCAGTGTGGCCACCGAGAACGAAGGCGTGATGACTCCGCTACAGAAGACTGGCCTCTTGGTGCTGGACACACACCCCGTTGGCGATGTGACAGAGGGACAGCTGTTCAGCACCCAGCCAAAGCTGAAAGTCACCGACGACAACGTGAGACTTCTTTGTTTACTTCTCTCTGTCTCTCCATCTCTCTATTTCTCTCTCTCTCTCTTTGTCTCTCCCTTTCTCTCTCTCTCTCTCTCTCTCTCTCTCTCTCTCTCTCTCTCTCTCTCTTTGTCTCTCTGTTACACTCTGTATCTCTTTGTCTCTCTGTCTGTCTGTCGGTCTGGCTGTGTCTCTATCTCTCTGTGTCTGTATGTCTGTGTCTCTGTGCCTCTGTCTGTCTGTCTGTCTGTCTCTCTCTCTCTCTCTCTCTCTCTCTCTCTCTCTCTCTCTCTCTCTCTCTCTCTCGCTCGCTCTCTTTCTCTCTCTCTCTCTCTCAGTCTGTCTCTCTTTCTCCTTATCCCTCTCTTTTCTTTCTATCTATCTCTCTCTCTCTCTCTCTCTCTCTCTCTCTCTCTCTCTCTCTCTCTCCCTCTCTTTCTCTCCCTCTCTTTCTCTCCCTCTCTCTCTCTCTCTCTCTCTCTCTCTCTCTCTCTCTCTCTCTCTCTCTCTCTCTCCCTCTCTTTCTCTCCCTCTCTTTCTCTCTCTCTTTTTCTCTTTCTTTCTTTCAGCTTTTTTTTCTGTTCTCACTTTCCTTTCCTTTCCTTTATAGAAAGCTAAAAAGGGGAAATAATACTTCTTACTCAATCTAATTTATTCAGTCTATCCATCTATCTATCTATCTGTCTATCTATCTATCTATCTATCTATCTATCGATCTATCGATCTATCTATCTTTCTATCTATCTATCTATAGATAGATAGATGGCTAGATAGATGTATATATATATATATATATATATATATATATATATATATATATATATATATATATATATATATATATATATATATATAATATATGAATAGCATATAGCATATAGATGTATATATATAATATTGTTTGTTTGCTTGCTTGCAGAACGAAGTGGTCACCTACTTAGGCTCAGTGACAGGTCCCTGGGAGATAGAGGTCAGCATCAAGTCAGGAGGAAGTCCCTATTCCAGGTTGATTGGGAACACCAGTGTCACGTTCCAGAACGGCTGGGCCAACTTCACCAATCTGGCCATTACAAACAGAGGCGATTACATCCTGGAGTTTAATGTAACTTCTCCCCCCGAGGCGACGAATTATTCACTGGAAGCTATGGCCATTCGGGTATGTTTCTGCAGGCTATAATATATTATAGATCTATGTCAAGGAAAATAGTTACTTCGCTGTCCGGCCGCCGGCCTGATTGATTTATATCTTGTTTACACTCAGGGGTAGCTTAGGGCATTGCAGGGAATGGGCTGATGCATTGTAAACTAAATGTAATCCGTTAATAGAAAGATACGTACATTTTAGGTAAGGATAAAGAGACATGAGAAGGAATGAGAGAGAGAGAAAGAGAGAGAGAAAGAGAGAGAGAGAGAAAGAGAGAGAGAGAGAGAGAGAGAGAGAGAGAGAGAGAGAGAGAGAGAAAAGAGGGGGGGAGACATCTTATAGAATCTGCAGACCATGGGAGTTTACAAAGCGTATAATTTTTATGTAGCATGCATTGAAACTCAAGTTTCAGACTCGAAGTTGCATCATGTTTCCAACTGACTCTTTATCGTCTCTTAGGTCAATGGACGCAATCTGAGACCAAAGGCTGAATTAAAAACCCTCAGCCGTATATCAGGCAGGCCACTGGAGCTAGACATCACTCTAGAAGACAAGGACACACTTGTAGACATCACGGACATCCAGTGGGCGGTAAGATTTCTCTTTGTTTGGGTTTGTTTTATTTTGTGAAGTGTTTTACGACGCTCGCAACTGCATAGGGTCATATATGGGCGCACGGGACGCATTAAACATTTTCAGTTTGGTAGGAATTGATTTTGAATTTTGCTTGGGTGGCGGTCGAAGCCAGCTCTTATCGATTTTGGACTACCAAGGAATCTTTAACATACACTAATTGTGCACGGGACCTCCGAGATTTTTCGCCTGTATCTGAGAAGGGTGTGTGTTAGATCTTACCTTCCTAAGATCAGGGATGTGGCTGAAAGACACTAGTTAAAAGGAGCCAAGGAGTAGCAGTAGAATGGCTGCAGAAAGCGTCAAGAGCCCAGAAGAGAGGGCAAAGGGGAAGGAGGGGGGAGAAAGTGGATACGGCGGCAGACGATAGAACATGATGAGATAGGGGGAAAGTCACTGCTGGGTTTCGTACTCTTGACCTTTTGAAGGAGAGGCGAACACCGTAACCTCTAGACCACGAGAACCCCCATAGGATTTCTTCATAGTTCGTTTATTTTTCAAGGTTGCGTTGTAGGATTTTGTCAAGACCTGAAAGTGTGATACTGTGTACCTTTTCAAGTTGTTGATATCATATGGTTTGGAATATCCCGAGCGAGCCAGTCATTTATTCATAATTTTTACGTAATTTGCTGATGGGAGGTCAAAAAGCGCTTTCTTAACTAGTGCGAAAAGCGCTTACTTTGAAATATAAAATTTAAAGGCCTATTTGTGCCTTTTTTCCAAACTGATCACGCACAATAGAACAGATTTTAATCAAAATCTTTTCTCCTGCCACAGAACCATACCTGGTCTGCCACAGCCTCTGTCTACGACTCAAAGTTCTATTCAGGTTCTCTTGCTGGAGCCTTAACGGTGCCATTTGATCCAGCTACCGGTAAGTCTAAATTTTCAACCTTTTCTATACAATTTAATTTATCAAGGAAGCGATTACTTCGACTTCACATCTATGATCTTTAAAACACGTAGATAAGACCCTGAAGACCAAGCTTTTCCAAATTAAGACGCAGATTCAAACCTTTGTCAACAGTCTTAAAACCCAGTGTCTTACAATATCTTACTTGCTTTTTGCTTTTGTCTAGTGTGTTTTGTCGTGGGGGGGTTTGTTTGTTGTTGTTGTTGTGTTGTTGTTGTTGTTGTTGTTGTTGTTGTTGTTGTTATTGTTGTTGTTGGGGGGGGGGGTCTGTTTGCGTTTTTTCTGGGGGTTTTTTGTTTGTTTTTGCTTTGTTTTGTTTGGGGGGGTCTATTTATTCAATTAATGAAGGACTACGAAGGTCAGCAATGACGAAACTGAATGTCTCTTTCAGATTTTAGAATATCTGTTCTTCAGCCTTTGTGGTTGTATAGAGTTTTCTTGCCTCCCTATCTGTAATTAACAATGACGTGAAGTCACGTCGTGTGTCTACAGAATATAGAGTAAGGCTTTAACAATTGTACGTATTATGTCTCGCTGTTTGTGTCGATATTCATGTCCATTGGTTTTTGGTGGGGAGTGGAGGGGTTGTTTGTTTGTTTGTTTGGTTTGTTTGTTGGTTGGTTGGTTGTTGTTGTTTTGCTGATTTTTAGGGGGTAGGGGGTTGGGGTGGAAGGGGTTCGGTTATAAAAAGAATAATATAATACTTACGCCCTTCATTCCAAATTCAGTACTTTTTTATAACGTGTACACACATGTGGGGTCTCCATTCTCTGTGGGGCCTCTTCATGGGTCGCTCTGACGTCATACACAAAAGACATTTTTGTTTTTTAAGAATAGGGTTAGAAATTTACTTTTACCTTTTTTCCTACACCATCATCTCGCCGACTGTCGTTTTTATTATTCTTGAACCAAGTCAATGATTATGCCTGAGCATAATATTTGTAGCCAGTAGATACTAACTAATGAGCACATTTGTCTCTGCCTGTTTTTCCATCCACTTTCTTTTTAAATAGTTTTTCATTCTTTTTTTTTTCAAAAGCAAATGTAATTGTTGGTTGATAGGTCTATAATGTATTTACTTCCTAACAAAGCCCATCGTTTAATATCCATAATTGAATTCCAAACGTTTTAATTTCCAATAGCAACGTATCGTGGTACGTGTATTTTCAGGAAAAGCGACATTCTTGGACCTTCAGCTGGACACCCCTGGCAAATGCCCTGTCCTCGTGACCATCACGTCCGACCCGCCAGACTACACAGAAGGGGTGGTGGTACTGATGGACGTGATGACCCTGGCCCAGAGTACTATCGTGGTACAGGAGACACACGACCTCGAGGTCAAGTTTGACATAGATTTTGACGAGGCCCGTGCACCTTACTACACCGCCATAGTGCGCAACAAGTTCAGCCAGAACCCGGACCTGGTCATAACTGAGGATGCTTACCGCAAAGGTGAGAAGAAGAAGAAGAAGAAGAAGAAGAAGAAGAAGAAGAAGAAGAAGAAGAAGGTGGTAGAGGAAGGGGAAGAGGAGAATGAGGAAGAAGAGGGAGATGGAGCAGGAGGAGGCGAAGGAGAAGCAACTGAACACTTGGTGGATATGTTTAGGATTCTTATTTTTACCGTTTACACCAAAAACAGCCCCTTTCGTAATGCATTATAGAGGAGTCCCGATTAAAGACTTACTTTAAATATTCTTATTTTTAAAAATGAAACTGAAAGTAAGCGTACAAGTTTAAATTGGAAACAGAAGACAAGCCTTTGAGTTTAAGACCCTTGCATGTTCTGCCCCCCCCCCCCCCCCAACCTTCGTAATGGTCATTTTTTCCTGCTCTGCGTTTTATATTAACCTGACGAATGCGTTCTTTCCGTCCAATCACAGGAAGCCTGATCATCACCCTGTCTGTTCAGGGAACAGTTACCGGCTACAACGACACGCTGACCAGCCTGTGCGACGACATTGCCAACAGCACGACCTTCACCTTTGATAACGTCACTGTGACCATGGCTGGCTACCTTACTGTTGACGGACAAACCTACTATGGCCTGTATTGTGGCCCTGTGAGTAGAAAAATATATCTATTGTTTTTCCATAACACTGTCTGTTTAACTGTAAAGTATGCAAAGAATAAGGTTCTTTCTGCAGCATTAGGATACGTAATTCGAAGACCAATAATTATCAATGCACGTCATAAATTTGTCATCGACTATAATGGCACAACTTTGCTTTCCACTGTCGTGCAGGTATGTGATATGTACCCATCGATTCAGTGATTTCGGTGGTTTGAAAACGTTACACCTGCATTGACACAATTTAGATCATTTAGAAGACGGGCTGCTTCGATTTTTTCTTCCTAGGCAAACTTATCCAGCGTTTGACACAACGCCCCAGCAGAAAGACGGAGAAGCTCAGTACATTACAAATATACTAAAGTAATCTTCCTACTCGGCGATCGAATTCACGCCTCTTACATGCAGGGTAATGCGTCTAACCACTTCACCAGCGACATGAATCATTTAGCGAGGTCTCAGACTCCAGTGAAATGTGCGGTAACACTGAATGCAGGCCTTCTGAAACACAGAAACATAATTTTTTTTAACTTCGCTGGACATCAAAGAGACAATACTTGATTTTCAGCAAGAGAGCCTTCTTTTCCTAAAAAAAAGTGAAAGAGTCTGGTCAAGAAAAGCGAAGCTGAATGCTGAGGCACAGTTGTGTGGTCAATGAATTTTCCTATATTCATCGTTAGATCAGCATAATTACATGTAGGCCTAGATCAGTCTATTTATTTTGCTTCAGATAAGTTATGATCATATTCACTACAATCTATTCCAGATTGCGACAAATCCCGGTGTAAGTAGCCATGTCGGTTGAACATGTAGGCCTACTCAGCTTAGGATCCTTCAAGCATATTTCATAATGATTATTTTGTCGGCCTTTCTGTATCTCCTGCTTCAATGCATTTATGATATGGTTGTTGTGGATTTTGGGCGTTTTTCCTCACAAGCAAGTATATATGGGAGGTGGAACCTCCTATTTGAGGTCCTATCTAAAGTATAGCGAGTTGATTTAGTACGATCAATAAGACATGGTCATGAGTTTAACGCCCCTGTCAACACTGTAAGCTCTTCTGAGACATGATGGAAGAGGGATACATTCTTGATTTTGCTTGCACAAACAGCTTGCTTTCATACTTGTATTGCTCTTCTTTCTGCTTCAAGCATCCCAAGTGTATGTAGCCTGTGTATTATATAATAAACGTTTCTAAGAGTATCGCGCTGCCAACCCAATAGTCGCTGAGCTTTCGCTCTTTGAATCTGTAATTGCATAAAGAAAGCTCATACTGTCATACATGCGGGTGCAAGCGCGCGTGCACACTCTCTCACACACACACACACACACACACACACACACACACACACACACACACACACACACACACACACACAAATATATATATATATATATGCACATGTATATATATATATATATATATAAATATATATATATATATATATAGAGAGAGAGAGAGAGAGAGAGAGAGAGAGAGAGAGAGAGAGAGAGAGAGAGAGAGACAGACGCGCACCAATATTACTTTCATATCATTTGAACGTCTGCCTTGCAAAACAACCTTTCACGGTGTGAACTTGACCAATATCTTTACATGTAGGTCTTTCTGGTCTTCCTATTAAAAATAGAGTGGCGGAAAAGGAACGATGAGGTCAATCTATCAGTCACACAGGCAAAATATACGTCTCGCCTCCTTCTTTTTCCACATGTAGCTTTATTTTCTGCAATGTAGCTGGCTATATATACATGTATATCGTATACATTGAAAGTTAGCATCTGCTTGTGATAAGCTACTAACACTCAAGGTTCAGAACGTTTGCTCTCATAGTAAAGTAAGCTAAGTTTGTTATGACCATGTAATATGTAATGTGAATGTTTTTTATAGTAGAGGTTTTACGGCGATGGTCATATGAGCACCAATGTGAATTTTTAAAGAGCTTACAATGAACATGCCCTTCTGTATAAGAGTGTACGAAATGAAACTGACAAAATGCGAAAACCTATCGATTGGTAAAAGACGGCACATGAAGGCACACACATATAAAACAAGCTAATCTTAATTAATACATTCATGTTAATTATGATATACTCCACTCTGCGTCCTATTTGTTCATGAAATTTAGAGACCGGCAACAACCAAGTAATCTAGTCAAAGTCCCTAATGAGAACTTATTTGACCTACTCCACACATCTATAGTGGGGTCAAAAATTTGTGGCGCAACTAAACCTTTTCCGAAAAAGCAAAGTATACATCATAGTCAATTGATGACACATGTTAATGTAGATCTAAATGGTTGCTACAGATTTAGCTTATTACGGATCTAGATTAAAAATCTAGAAAGTTTGGGCTGCTTGTGTCATGTTACTAAAAAATTTAGTTTTCATTTTGCGGAGAGAATCGACTCCCTCCCTTACGGCATATTATACCCATGTATTGTTTGCTCAGCTCACCTGGGCAGCAAGCTAGACAAACATTTATTTCTCTCAAAAGACATCACAGAGTTGATTATACTCGCGTCTATAAAAAGTATTACTTTCGTGCGATACTGAAACAAGCAAATTGAAATAGCTGACTCCATCAAAGATTATTTTTAAATGGACTCCGCTTTACCTTACTTTCGTAGTCGGCAGTATTTCAAGGGTTGACAGTTAGCGCGATAAGCCAACACTCCAGGCCCCCAACTTTTGTTCAAATTTATAGTAAGCAAAGTTTGTACATTATAGAGTAGAATATGTCCCAAAGACTTACGAATCACACTGTTGTATCTTTGCAGTCGAGTGCCAGTGACGACGGTCTGGAGACGGTGTACATCGTTATCATCGTCATCTTGTGCATCGTCGTAGCGGCTCTTGTGGCTGTCCTCCTGGCCTACAAGTTCTACTTCCACCCCAAGGCCAAGACAAGTAGTAAGTCATGCTGTGTTGTCAAAAAAGATCATCTTACATCTCTACTCTAAGTCTAACAAGTGCCGTGCATGTTATTATAATAATACCATGTAATTATTGTAACGACTGCAAAACAAGCAGCCTTTTCCCCAAATATTATGTCTTGGCCAGTACGTTCTACCTTTGCCTAGCAACAAAGATCTGCAGTCAGAACAACTCACAAACATTCGTACTCACACGGTTATCTTGATTTGGGAATCAGTTTTACAAATACACTCAGCAGTTGGTGAAAGGTGGTGCCTGTGTTTCCCTTGGAACGTGTTGTATTTTGTACTTTTGTCTACGATGTATTGCATTAGATCTAGATCTATATGTGTTTCTCAATATTGCAATGAACGGTGCTGTGAAACTGACCTTAAACTGCTAACACCCAAAATGCTCACCGTTTTCTCTCCAGGCTCAACCAGTGGTGCCCATTACCTGGGACAGAATTTGCGCAGCGATCTCCTGAGCGACACACTGAGCAAAGAGGACACGTTCACTAGCCTCAAGTCCCGCCCCTACTCCCCGCCAATGGCACCCGTGGGCACTGCCATGCCAGCCAAGATGGCGTTTGACCTTCACATTGAGACGCCTGGACGCGAACACATCTCCTCCTCCCCCGTGCCAAGGATGATCACACCTCAGCCTACACCACAACTCTCGAAGATCCTGGAGCAGCAGTCTTCAGTTCCCCCTCCCAACTTAAGCGACCAACCAAAGTGGAACTTTTAAGTACCTAGGACTGTTAAATTGTGGACTGTTATAGTGAACCTGATGACTGATTTGTTTCCCGGACCCCCTGAAAACGCCTGCGATAGGCTGGAGAAAAGTATCCATGCAAGGAGAAAGCTATTTCTGTAAACAAATCCCCAATCCGAGCTAAAATCTGACTTGGAACTTCTTTTTCACTTTTATTGGAGATTGATAATATTGATATATCTTTCATAACATAAAAAAAAAGTTTGTTCATGCTTTTAGCAGCTGCCGCAATGAAAGAAACAAAAATAATACAAACATACATGATAAAATGACACAAATGGAAAAGCACACATAGATCTTCGCTATGCAAAATCCAAGTGTTATATAAAATAAAGAAATAAAATATAGCTATACATGCCTGTAAATTTTCTCTTGCATGGAAACTTTTGATCAGCCCTGCTTTGCTTCCCGATGCTGAATACGCCTATTGTTGAACACAGAGTGATGTTGATAAATTTCCTACAATCTTGACAAATTTCTTACTTCTTACCGTACCTAATCACACTTAACTTACACTTCACTTATGTCTCTCTGGGTCTTTTCACAGCAATTGCATGAAATATAGAAATGTCTCTGAAATGTAAATAATAAAACGCAGCTACTTAAAAAGAAAAAACAAAGACAGGGTACAACAACGTCGGAAAACATGAAAAGACGTTCTGGGGGGACAGATTACAACAGTATTTGGCTGGATAAACTTTGTTTTTACTGAAGATTTTTTTAAAAAGGTTGTGTACATATAATGTTGTTATATTAAACGGATATTACAATTAGGCCTATATCTTTGCCACGTTTGTTACCTTAAAATTGCAATGCATTCATGTTTGTGATAAAAGAACAGTGATTACTTTGATAATAGTATATTTTTTGCAGTGCCCTTATAGGTATGCTAAACCTAAGATTATCCAATCTACTGAGAGGTTCATTTTTCAAAAATATAGTTGGATCATGTTGTTATTTCATTTTAATTAAAAACAAATGCCTAAATAATAAATACAGTTGACTTAAATTTGCAGTGATTTTTTTAAAAAGACAGTACATGAAATATTACAAAGTCAAAAAGCAAAAAAAGATCCATGCTTGTAATTATAAGCTATATAATGTAGTTAATGACCTCTCCTACTGTACCCTACATTTGAGTTTGAGTTATAATTTGTGCATTATGGAATCTCAATCTACTGCTTTGATACCTGGTTATGCCATTTTAGGACACTGTGATATTATATCAAAAACTTCTGTGATATTTTTTACTCTTGGTACTCTTTTTGACTCCAATTCTTACTGTGGCCTTGTTTGGTTTTTTTTACTGAAATTTTGAGGTACTTGCATTTGTCTTTTACATTCAGAATTTTTTGTATTTTCCTTTTTCCTTACTTGGTTATTCAAAGGAATACTCAGTATTAAAATTTGTAAAATTGAATAATGAGAAACCGTCCAGCTTAAGTAAGTCTTTCTATTGAATTGCTCTTCATATAAACAGTCTAAGCAATGATTTATATATATATATATACATGTATAGCCTATCTCTTTTATAAATGTTCTGTTCAGTTGCTCAACAAACTATGCTATTCTTGACAAAACTCTCTGTTTTGAGTGTGCACTTGTTTGTAGAATAAAACCTAGCTTGCAGCACGAAGTCTGTCATGTTTATTATTTTTGTAGTATCCTGTGAGGTCGCTACATTGCAAAAAAATCGTTTTAAGCAGTCTGCAAGCTTTCACCTCTATTTTCAGGATCCAAGAGCAGAAGTCTGTCATTTACTGGATCAGTGAAATCAGTCACAACATTCTCCATTTATGATGACAAATTACGCCGAACTTTTAGGTGGTGAGGCACAACTGTGTTTTAAATGTTCAAGTTCAAGGACTGTACTCTCATCCTAGCGACAAATTTTGTTGTCACTTTTGAACAGTAAAACAAACCTGCATTTCCCAAGTGAGACACAATTATAGCCCTGAAACACTAAACTATTGTCAATATTTCCTTTTTTTCTTTTGGTAAACATTTTAAAAAACAGTCAACACTTCACTACTTTCGAATTACAAACTTCTATCGGCTCAGTAACTAGTTTTAAGAAATTTGACGTTGAAAATTTGAGTTTCATATGTCAAGATTTTTCAAATGCAATTTTTTGAATATCTTGATAATGACTGGTACTCTGAATAATCTTACGATTTTGATAGAGCATAAAGAACATTTAATTTGGTTTCTGACCTCGTAGTCTTGGTAACTCAAAACGGCCAAAAATGTCAGATAGAACTTTGTAATAGTAGCATCATGTCTGGTGTTGTAGCACAGGCCCTGTGTTCAAACTCAAACAAAGCTGTGTCTTCAGAAAAAAGACACTTAAACTTAACATGAATTTTTCTCACTTTACCTAGATGTGAACGGGTATCCGACCACGGACAGCAAAAGATCTGGTCAGAATATTATTGTTTAAGCATCTGCAAAATGGTAGTTTGCACTACATTATGTTCACTTCCCAGGAAGCTGAGATTATTTCAGAATGAATCAGTTCTGCTGGGGTAATTATATATTAAGCACCAAATAGCTTACTGATGAGTAAAAATCTGCACTATACAAACAAACGACCCCCCCCGCCCCAAACTTGAGCTCATTACTTCCATGACTCAAGATGAGTTGGCTCACCTCCATCATTATCAGAAAACTCACCAAAAAAATCAATTTTAAAAAAGCAAACAAAGAACTGACAACGGATGCGAGTCCTTCGCTTACGTTCATCCTCCAGGACGAAGCCAGTCAAAACTGAGTCCCTGCTCCATTTCAGAACGTACCATTCAAATTTCTTTGAATTCCATCTCGACCTCGATTTGATCAAAACAGAATAACAGAGTGAGCAGCCAGACATACGTCTAAAAATAAGAGTAGACAAGACAAGATACAATAAGATAAATTTTTATTGTCCAGACGCCGGCATATTGGTTTGGTGTTTCACCATACACACACACACACACACAACATACACACACACGCACACAACATACACACACAACATACACACACAACATACACACACACTCACTCACACACACTAAGACACACTCACATGCCCACATGTGCACACGCTCATAAAAAAATATTCCCTCACACATCTTCTCTTCCACATACATTTTACATGTTCACTCATAACGCATGCTTACACTCACAAACAGACCCACAGTCATATGTATATGACATAAATTTACAATTACTGTTAATAATTGTTTAAGCTAGACACGTAATCTGTATTCCTATAAGTTGTGTGAACCTTTCCAATTTTGTTCTCAACACAAAATTGCTTTGCATGTCATCCTGAATTATAGCAGTTCTTGTATACAGTATAACATGGATAGCTTGAATTCAAGGGATATCCGACAAAGATAAAGAAGAAAAAAAAACAAAACAGGACTGCAGGCACAGTTCAACGGAAACGTGATTTCAAGTCTTCTGTGTTCGACCTTTTCATGTTATATTGTAGTTAAAAAGAAACCAATACCTTCCAAAATGATGGTATTTGCTCATACACTTTCGTTGTAAAGCTCAACTTTGTACTACTCTGATAGTTTTAAAAAAGGTCACTGGGCACAAAACAGTGCAGGAAGGTCAGAGAACATTTTGAGATACAAATACTGAACCTCTTTATGTTGGCCAGGTTCATGAACAACTGCACAACAGCGGCCAAAAGTCCTTGGTGGGAAAGAAAAAGACGCAGTCACACAGAGAAGAATATGTGGAGATACCAATATGAGTCACGATGCGGTGGAATCAGCCGCTTGTCAATTTTCCGGCAAGTGGAATTATTGGTACCATCTGAAATATTATTCATTTGCCTTGCATTTCAATGAAAAAAATACCCATCTGTCTTGAATGGAAGTTAAGATATTTGCGATTGAAAGAGGTGAAGTCTCCTGGTTTCTGTGGTGAAGAAATTAGTGACAAAATGGCTGCAAAAGTTTGGTAACTCCAATAGCTAAAGAGTCCTTGAAAACTGAAAAATGACATATTTATTATTTTGTGCCTTTAATCAACATTTTTTTAGAAAGACCTTCCTGGAAATGTGTTTTTTATATGGACATAAAAAGGGTTGAGCCCCAAAAAAAAATTTGATCAAAATTGCCAAACTGATGAAAAAAAAAAAGCCTGCTTCTCCGATTTCAGTATTTTGACGAGCTCCTGATTTCACCACGATGCCCCACATATATCGTCGATATTTCTTCTTTTCGATGATGCATTTCTATGAAGGGATTTGATCAAAAGTCATACAAGAGCATATGGCAAAAAAAAAACCCTACTCAAACATTTTTCACAAGTAACTTAAAAGCGTCAGGAGAAAGCACTTTGACAGTATTCATGATTTTTACAAGCTCATATATTCAAGAAGCACCCATAACAACTCATCTTAATATTGGAAGTATTTTTTTTTACTTCAAAAGTCTGACAGTACATCCTTTCATATTAAGAAAAATACATGACTCATTTATTTCCAAGTCTTGATTGTACTTCCTCAATTCCTTGCTTGAGTGTGGCATCAGACAACAAGAACTCTTTGGCAGTGGCAGCTGACTCAGCATCTTTAGGTTCTGAAATAAACATGAAATTCATTTTAAGACCAAAAAGCCGTAAACATCTACAAATCCTGTCTATACATTGAGTAAAAAATAAATTGCGTTAACATGGAGAAAAGACAATGCGGTCACTTAGTTGAAGTTCCATGGTAAAGGAAATTAAATTTTTAAAGATCAGATAAGATAATATAAGACAATACTTTATTCCCAGAGGGAAGACACCATTATGAAAACGCCAAACTTATTACTTCCAACGTCACTGAGTGGCTAACAAGAAGTAGAAAAGACTTTGGTCTTTCTCTTTGTCTTGACCTCCCAGCTCTCTGATGGCAGATATATTTTCACGTGGTTATATGTGTCAAGACATGGTGGAATCTGGCACTCGTCAATTTTTATGCATATGGAGCTATTGGTATCACTCTAAGGTTTGTTCATTTGTTTATCTTTCGAAAAAAAAAATACTAATCTATCTTGAACAGTAGTCGAGACATTTGTTGCGATTGAAGGAGGTGGGGTAGCTTGGTTTAAGAGGTAAAATTGGCGAGAAAATGGCCACTAAAGTTCTGTGACTTCCAGTGCTTGAGAGTAGTTTGAAATCTGAAAAATTAATATTTTTTTGTGCCTTTAATCAATGTTTTTCAGTAAAATTCACACTGAGATGTGTTTTTAATTGACATAAAAGGTGTTGAACCAAAAGCCAAAATTTGATAACGATTTCTAAACCTGCGGAAAAATGCTGGTAAATTCCATGTCATTTTTTTGACAAGGGCCTGATTTCACCACAACGACTCACATATAACTTTCTTCCACTATACCTGACAATTATTTAAACACGACCTTGTCATCGCAGGAGCAGCGCCAAAAAATCACTTTCTCTCACTTTTTATATTAGCACATGTGAATAAGAGCATAATTTGTTACTGCCTGACTACATCAAGAAATGATAAAGAATCTAACTGGCCCCCAACTCAAATCAGTACATCAACTTCCCTGTCAAAATAGAAAAAAATAAAGTTGACAAATTGTTAACAGTATGATATGGCAACCAGTAAAGATTAGTAAAGCCAGTTACACACCCATCATACAAAGCTTCGTTTTTAAAGACACTAAAAACAAAAAAACTTCACTGCTAAAATTCCCTTACTTTGAGATATCTCACACAAGGACACCCAGGCTAACTCCAGCAACTGCTGATTCTGCTGCAGACACAAGACAAGTCTGTCTTTCATCGCCCACGTCATCTGTTTCAGATCAGGGTTGGAGGCGTTGTCCCTCTCATGAACGTGGACCAGAATGGAAGCCATCACACAAGCTGCAAACCCTAAGAAATCTGGGCCAGGCTGTCCACGGACATGTTTTCCACTCAACAGGCTCACGTAAACCACCAGACTGTACGCTGTCAGGACAGGCATTTTGTTTCTGCCAGCCTGAGGAAAGCAAAAATATTACGAGAGATTAACCACACCATAGAAAAAAAGGATTCCCTTCCAATGAAAATGTGAAGTTCTTTTTTAGTTGAGAGCTTTACCAAAACAAACAGGTCAATTCAGATGTGTAACTTTAGACCTTGTTATAAAAGTGAAGACCTAGGGAAAAAAAAAAGGGGGGGGGGGGGGGGTTATAAAAGTGAAGACCTAGGGGAAAAAAAAAAGGGGGGGGGGGGGGGGGGTTATAAAAGTGAAGACCTAGGGGAAAAAAAAAAGGGGGGGGGGGGGTGACAGAAGGTGCACCAGATTACACAACGTTATCCATGTACATACTCGTAGTAACAAAGATATTCACTATTCACTACTCTACTCCACCCCTCTCTCTTTCCCAAAGATTACTTCTCTAAATGAAATTTGTGGCCATGTTTGATAAGCTCTCCCTAGCTGGTGCTATTTTTCTTCACTATGTACCAATCATTTAAGCTATGTGCATGTTTTGAATACAAAGAATATACAACAACAAAATTCAGGACCTGAAAATCTGTTTGCTAGTTGCATTTTTCGCTACGAGCATGTTTGCTAAGTGATTGAAAGACTGTAGCCTACAAATGTTGTTACTTTCTACCCCTGGGAGTTGCAACATAAAGAAACTGCTAACCTTAACATGGAGACACCTGTTAAAAAGCAGGATACGATGACAACACTTACATGGACTGGGACTGACAGTAATAAACCAAGAAGAACAGCTACCCTGTACATTACTTAGGCATTTGAATCAAACAATGAGACATGATAAGATAAGATAGATAATACTTTATAGTCCCAGAGGGAAATTTTTCTTGGTTGCACAGGACCGTAAAAACACATGCAGGTATACATAAAGATGTTACTAAATTATATATTACTTTCATTAAAATTTAATATGAAAGGAAAAGTAAAGCTGACAAATGTACATATCACATCAGATGCATCACATGCAGGAATTTAATTACGAGATGAGTGTTATTAAGAAAAACAAACTGTATACAAGGAATGTAAAAGAAAGAGCATGTTATCTCCCTAATGCTTATACTCACAAATGCCTTCATCCACAGCTGTGACACACTGTTTGTGAAGGAGAATGAATCGTTGTAACCTTCCTCAGGGAACGCTGGGATGTAAAAGTTTACCAGTTCTCTTGCAACCAGCTGAAAATGCGCAAACATTTACTTTCATTAACGAGTGATATAGAGTAAGCATTTCACTTTCTTCCTGAGTGCATGAGACAGTGCAGTTAGGGCTTGTCACAAAACAGAAGGGAAGAGCCTGCAAGAAACATGACAAACAGCTGACAGAGAATTCAGAGTTAATTTGGCACTTCAATGCTTATGCACCTTTACAATATTTGTAAAAATTTATTGTGGGTTTCAAAAGTAAATAAAATAGACCATCGTACAACAAAAGAAATGTCATTACATCAATTTAATTAAGGAAAAAAATTATATGCAAAAGATCTCTTTCAATCTGTTAAGACAAATGACCCTACTTTACAGATTTTATAGTTAGGATCAAAGCTTTTGAAACAATTGTTCACTTTAAAAACCAAGGTTGGTAATGCTATTTTGTCCAGGTGCCGATGGAAGAAAGATAAACAAAAATAAAAGTAAATTAAAGGATAGTAGATAAGAATATATTCCCCAGAGGGTTGCAAAAATAAGTTTTTAAAAATTCAATTATTTATTGAATTTACGTAAGGCATGAATGAAATAAAATTTCTGTCTGATCTTTAATCAAAACAGAATAAATGGACTATATACACTGATTTTACCCGGTTCGGTTCCTGGTGAACATTCTCAAAATAATACCAACCTGTGAAATCTCTAAATGACGTTCCCATTGCTCTGTTTCAGCACAGAAGTTGAACTGCCACAACTTCACCCCTTCAGGGCCAACATCTCCCACAGGACTGCATTCATCAAGCATTTCTTTCAACATTCCTAGTTATCAAAGACAAGAAGAGGGGGGGAAATGACAAAGAACATGCATATATGATAGCTCAAGAGATGTTAAATGAGTAAAAAATATTGTAATTAGATGTTTCAATATATACTTTCTATTGACATTCTATAGTAGCCTCTATCTGTTGATAGACACACTGAAATTCTGCTAGAGACCTTAACACTTTGCCGCCTCATCTCTCCAATTGGCGATGTTTACCACCCGGTTTCTTTGGATTTTCCCCAAAATATGATGGCAAATTGTTAAACATAGCTTCAGATTAAACATCAGTTACAAAGCTCAGTTCTCATGCAGTTTTTTAAAATCTAGAGTACTGATAATATATTACTGTTTGCTTCCAGATAGTGTTCAACAACAATAGACAGGTTACATCAGTAAATATACATTGGTAGCATAAAATCACAAGCAAAAAGTATTTTTGCCGCTCATGTCCTTTACTAAATAAAATGACAGATAAACCAGTTTTTACTAGGTTTGTACAAGAAAAAAGCACATGTTTTCCTCTTTATTCAAAACTCACCAATCTGAAGTGATAGCATGAAACTGAGGAACTCAGACAGATAGGACTGTTGCTCAGCAGTTGACTTGTTGAAGTCCACTTGATTTGTGAGAGGCACTATATGACTAGAAGTAAACGAAATAGGAAACGGAAAAACATTGATGATGCCAATTATAAACTTTTTCCTCAGCAGGAACATAATATTACCTTATTACAACTTACAGACATTATATTCAAACCAAAAGTTTCTGACAGAAACTAACCATGTCTAAAGGTCTGAAAAAGAAAACCATCTATATTTACCTTGAAAGCATACTTAATGTCCGTAAATTGTATAGGACAACAGGACCACACATTTATTTTTTGTCTCTACATCTTTGAAGACTTTGCCTCTTCAAAAAAGCCATCCAAACAAACAATTGGAAATTTGAATTTGAGACTTGAAGGGACCATAAAAGAGATTAAACTACTAACAAACTCACTTTCAGTGCAATAAAAGAAGAGATAATTTTCTAGCATAATTCAGAGTCAAACCATTAAATCAAAGCAAAGAAGTCCACGACATTAATTCCCATCACCATTTCCAAAGACACTTTTCCTTAAACAGTACCAGATGTAACAAATAATAGACCACAACCATTTGCTTCTCCCTCAACATGTCTAACAAAGCAATTAGGAGGCAAGGTAAATTTACTAGGACGTTTTGCAAAAATCTAGAGAAAAAAAAAGGTCTGAAATAGAATACAACATCTCCATCTAAATTACCATTGGCTTCATTTCAAAGACTACAAATAAATAAAATCTCTTTTACCATTCACTGTCATTAAATGCACTAATCCTTGGCTCTCTTATTTATCAATCAGACTGACTGAATGTATTTACAATATGATTTACGATACAAAGATCTTCTCAGCTGCAACAGTCTGACAAATATTTATTTGTACTGCACAAACTAGCCAAAAATAACCCAGTCAATGACAATACATACTGAATGTTCTGATACAAGCTTTGTATGACATGGCTGACTAGGCTGCATGACCTCCGCCTTGGAAGCAATGGCTTCTCCGGAGGCTGACGCAATGCCTGCAGAACTTGCTTATAGTGCTGCTTTGAGAAAGGAATGCCCATAGACAAGATAAAAAAAAGCTGCTGAATCACTCGTTCCCTCCCACAGCCAAGGATGCCATTGTCAGAATCTGAAACGAGACATAAGACCTTTTCTTCAATATTGAAAGCTTTAAAAAAACATTGCAGTAAGTTTTAAGTAACAGCAATAAAATTTACAAGACCGGATCACAGGGACAAGGTAAGCAAACTCCAAGAAAGTAAAAACAATGTTTCCAGTTTTTAGGCATTCTTGAATTACATCATTCTTGCCATTAAGCTAACTCATATTAACAACACTTTTATCTCTTTTATTTATACAATTTCTATTCATCCAATTCTCTGAAATGAATAGCACTGTAAAGGTTTTGATCACAAAGAAAATTTAGCTATTTTTTTCAAGCAAAAAAACAACACATTTAATTAGAACAACAGAAATTGAAAAATGTCACAGATATGGCTGCATCCATCATTTCTATATATAAGGATCAGTCAAAGGAAAAAACAACAGGAAACCACCTATACTTTAAAATGTTCTTTCCTTTCAATTAAAGAATACAACTTTATGACAAACAAGGTCATTTATTTGTATTTGTATGAAGATATGCTGGAAGCAGAGATGAAAACTAAATAAAAATCATTAGTTATTTCTTTCACCTTACTGGTTTAACTGTCCATATGCACAAACATGACAGGACGTAATAAGCATGACAAGACGTAATAAGTACATCAATACAGCAGAAAACACTATTTTCTGTCTTGACAGAACAATGCCTACTGAGAGATGAAATATACAGTCTAATCTTAAGAATAGTTGGAAGAAAAGTAGCCGCATAATAACCTAAGTACTGCGGCAAGACTTGGAGCAGTTTCTCTGTAAACTCAGCACAATTTTGAGCTCTTGCTTTTGTCATGAGGAGAACCACTTGGAGTGCCCATTCACCGTCTCCTTTCTTCTTGATCACATGGAGCAAAAGCTGAGGCAACTTGGAGTAGAATTCCACGACCAGCTGTGACACTGATGAGGTCCTGAAAATATATGTACTAAAATTTAAACCACTTAAAACGTTGTACAGAGAAGTGCTTTGCATCTTTCAAAGAAACTGAAGGAAAATGTTGAACATCTCAGAAAACAGGGCCCTATTAGAATAATTAGAGATAAGTAGAGATAAGATCTTCGTTACTGAGAATAACATATAAGTGTTGTTTCTTATCTTCACATTTCCAAGCAGATTTCATTCTTTTCATCAATTATATAAAATGTAGGAGAAACCCTTACTTCAAAAAGAATACTCACCATGAACCATCGTCACCTTTCTGCCCATCCCAAGCCTTGCACAAGGTTTCAAATACACTGTACATCATTTTCTTCTGCGCAGACATTACAGAACAGGAATTGAAGAAGTGAAAAGCAGCCTTGAGTGAAGGGAGAAACATTTCTGGGGAAGATGCCAACACAACACTTAAAAGAAAAGGAAAGTAAGAAAATAAAAAGAAACTTTTAAACTAAAAACTTCAATATTTTTATTTCAAACTTACACACAGCTTCATCATCCATTACACAGAAAGAACAAGAAAAGATGAAGGTGGCAGTTGTATCTTAAGTTCAGAATCTAATTTTTTTTAAAATAATTTTCTTTGAAAAAAAAGAACCAAATTCTATCAGACTGGACAGCCGACATCGGGGAATCTGTGTAGTAAGAAAAATTAAATTAGATCTTGATTTCTCCGATCCATACTGCCAAGCCTTGAAACTCGCTGAATGCAGAAAGCCAAACTAACACAGCGAACGACTAACAAAAATTGAATTTACTGGCCTTGTTATGACAAGCATTCAAAGTATGGAGCACATTATCTATTTTCTCAGGTCTTCTGCAGGTCAATGCTTTAGACTGTCTCAACTCCCATAAGCCAAAATTAAATTCATGGATTTTCTTGAACTGCCAGGAGTAAATTTGTGCTGTCATTTAGAATATGCATAAATGTTTGTTTCAATGACAATTTTGAATCAAATCTACCTCGTTGACCATGCCAAAAATTAACCATCAGCAACACTGGGGAGGCAGAGTGAGATTGAATGCAGAAAAAGTAGATGTAATGTAGAGGAATTCGATTTACAATCTTGATTTGAAAAGTGACTCAGATTCTAGATCTAACACAAAGCACTGCCACTCAAAACAAGTGCCTCCAAGCATCATGTTGACCAGTATTATAAACATGGATATGGAGGACTGGATAGAAATGTATTTTATTAAGGGACACGATCTGTGGTTCTGTTGAATGAGGGTAAAATGGACAACACGAAGCAAGTCATTCCGGCCGATAGGAGTTAAATTCACCGGTCGTTCCCAGTGTACCAGTGAACTTTATTCAAACTCCCATGGCATTCCCGTAGTCAAGAAGTCATCCTTAAGTTTTAGTCAGACTTTTGCGGCACTTGCAACACAATAAGGTCATATAAGTGCTGAAGATTATAGAGGTGTAACAAGAGAGTAACAACCACAAAAAAGGACGATAGATGTTTGATAGGAAAAAAGGAGCAAATCACATGGAAGCACCAGCCAAATGCCCACATGCAGTCACCCTGATAAATAAAATTGCTGTCTCACCCACAACAGACGGAGCTTGTATGATATTGTTTAAAAATCTTGCAATCATGGAACAGTGTTCTCCACTAGGACTCTTCTTCAGGTTCTCTTTGATGAAATCCTGTAACTTGGCACACCACTTCCACTCCAGCTTAAAGGATGGACAAGTCAGGAAACATGACATAATGTCACAAAGACCTAAATTCAGGTTGTCCATTGAAATCTGAAAATAAATAGGTTTTAAACAAATTAATAAAATAGTCACTAGGCAATTCAAAAAGACATAATGCAGAGTGAGAATTATTACTATTGAAAGCAAATAAAGCACACATAAGAGAAACTAAAGTGTCCTCATCACACGGTGATTTTCTACAATCAATGGATACATTTTCATTGAAAATTCAAACATTGAACTGAACATTAAGCCCTTCCATCACTTGTCTTTAAACTGTACTTTCTAATCATAACTTCTACATGGCTGAACGTTAAGTGCATCTGTTACATTCAGTAACACATGCAAAACTGAAACAAGGGGGTAAAATGGATAAGAAAAGAAAAGAACACAACCCCACAGAAAGGTTCACAATTTGTGAATGCATTGAACACCCCAGCAAAAAGATAAACATTTTAAAATTACCAGATGAAAAGCCACACTCAATATCTAACAATGAAGCATACACTTTGCTAACTAAAGTCATAAAAAATAAATTAATCACTATCAAAGCCAGCCCTTTTTCCTCGTTATATGTACCGGAGGCGTCTGTTTCTCTGAATCAGGATGCTTCCTTTTCCTCTTCTTTCCAGTGGGAGCCTGAACTTGTACAGAGAAAGGAAAACTATTCATAAATAGTTTTTCAAATTCAACAGCCCGACTTGCCACCAGGATATCAGCAGACACCTGTCCAGATTCAAATTTGACATTGATTATTGTTATATTTGTGACCAAAGGCTTTGCATTTAGATACACAGATGAAACATGGGAAAAGAACATCCTCAAGGCTTTATTCTAGCAAATTCCAAGTGTATGTCGCAAGGCATAAAAAGTTCACACTTTCTCTTTCATTATTTGGAAATGAAACCTTAATACTTTTACAACTGTAAACTTTAAAAATGGTCAGTTTCTCAATACTTTGCAATAAACTATGATCATTACTGTAAGTACACGGCTGGTGCACACAGAACAACTTTATAGCATTGCAGTACTTTGTTAATAATTAAAGAGAAAAAAGCATTGAATATAAGGACTCTTTACCAGTGTGTCAGAATTTGAATTGGAACACTTTGTCTTCAGCCTTTTAACTCCACACAAATTGAAAGCAAGCTGGATAATGGTCACAACAAGAGACATCACTTCTGCCGCGTCCCTGGGTAAAACACCACCTGAAAAAGAAGTGTTTTCTACATTAATCACTCTTGGCTTTAACTCCCAAATTAAAATGTGTCACAACTCAGTGGAATCAGGCGCTCATCAACTTTGCGATATATATAGAGACAGATATTGATATCATCTTAAACTTGTTCATTCATCTTGCTTTTGGTAAATAAAATACCCATCTACCTTGAATATAAGTCAAGATATTTGCAATTGGAGAAGGTGGGGTCACCTGGTGTCAGAGGTAAAATTAGCGACAAAATTCACCAAAGTTTAATGACTCCCAAAACTGAAGTGTCCTTGGAAACAGCAAATTTACATTTTTTGGTACCTTTAATCTACATCTTCAGTAAAAATCACACAGAATGTGTTTTCAATGGACATGAAAGGTGTTGAACAAACAAAAAAAGAAAATTGAAAAAAAATTCTCCTATAGCCAGAAAAATGCAGGTTCTTTTGTTTCAATATTTCAACGAGCGTCTGATTTCATCAAAATGCCTCACAAATACAGCTGAAACTGTCCAAGACGGCCACCCATTGTCAAGGAGAAAAATGGTAGTCTTAGAACAACACATCATAAGTACTAGTCCACTGACATCATTTACCACCTCAAAAAGGCATCCAGGGGGCCACATTCTGTTCTCAGATGGGCTGCAAGCTGACTTAATTTCTGGTTGCAGGTGAACAAGGTACTAAGAAAATCTGATGCTCCTTAATTCACAAACAGACCATATTATATTGGTCATAATGCAGGCTATGGTTGAGACAAGAAACAACAAATTTTCAAATTTGTTACTTACACAGTATCTGAAGATGAATAGGAGGCATTACCTGATTGAGGCTGTGAGTCCACGCTAGCCCTTGCTTCTTTCCAGCACTGCAAGAGCACGGTGATCGAGTGTGTGACAAAGTACTCCAAGGTGGATGGCTTGGTCAAATAACTGTTCAGTTCATGACTGGAACAATTTTAAAGGGAGGATTTGTACAAGGTTTGGTTTATTGTATACTGTTTAACAGCATCACCAAATCAGCATTGGACAGATAACTGTTCTTTAAATTCAAAGAAGTAAAACTTTTTTTAAATATAGCAATCTACCATACCACTAACACAATAGTAAAAAAAATAGTCATAACTTCAACATTACATGACCTTTTCAAACATGAGGAGAAATACTTTTGCTATAAATCATTTATTTAATCTATTGTCATATGAAAAGGTAATTTCTTTCATCATATGTATATAGTTGTAACCGGATTTGTAGCCACAGCTGCAAGGTGGTCATCTTAGAGTCTTGTAGAAAGATGTTAACTTTTAGCCTCATACAGGTTTATTATAATAATTATTCAGTAAAAAATACTTGCTCTCTGTTGCTAACAAAACAAAAAAAGACTAACATGATTTCAATTCTACTTTTGAATTAAAAGTGATTATTGTCCCCTGGTTTTAATAGAATCGTGTGTGTGTGTGTGTGTGTGCGTGCGTGTGTGCATGCGTGCGTGCGTGCGTGCGTGCGTGTGTGTGTGTGTAGGGGGGGGGGGACCTACGACTATAATACTTTGTTAACATTCAATTAATTCGACAAAACAAGTCCTAGATTTTATGAGATGGGGATTTAAAACAGCCAGAAAGGAAGACTACATAAGTTACAAACGTTGTAAACCTCACAACAGCTCTCTATACCACTACATGTTTTCCCATTGAAAATACAAAACAAGGACAAAATTTACCAGGCTCCAGAAAAAAGTGACTGGAATTTGCCGCGGGTCTGTTGTGACTGGACCATTGTGTCTTGACGGGTGTTTTCACCATTGTGGTCTTCTCCTAAACTCCAGACTTTCAGCGGCTCTTGATCAACAATATCAGGGGTGTCTCCCTGTTGCTCAGTCTTTGCATTGACCGCAGTCTGAAATAGATAATATTCATCTTTAAATGTGGTCTATACAAAAGAAAAGACATCAGTCCATAAACTAATGGAAGGACTTAGACTTTACATTTACTGCAGTAACCTCTTCGAATAACAGTACATAAATATAAGAAATCTCTTATCTACTAAACTGTAAAATGTGTCCTAAAGTTCAATTTTCACAATGACACAGTTTAGTCTTCACCAAAATCTCTGAATTCAACATGTGTATCAAAATAACTACAATCCAAATTTTTAACTTGCAGGGGGGACACATTTTGCATACAAAGAAATACTTAATTTGAGAAAAAAACAATCACTGTTACAACAAAATTAAATAACTCTAATAATGTCAGAGGTTCCAATCAATCCAAAAGGCTTTCAAATATTCTTCATGGAATAACGATCCTGCTCATGTTCATTCTCATCGCTAACATCGTCACTTCTTTCATCAAAATTCCGATTACTACAACTGCAATATGTTTCTTGATCTATGAGGTCATCATTACTAAACAAGTCATCAAGCACTTGTGAAATGTCTTATGGCGTTCTAGACCTAGCCCACTTTCCTGTCAAAGAGCTTGATTCACCACAGGCTCCCTCCATGTTGAAATTGATCCAATCTTTTAAAGAAAAACAAAACAGTATTCCTATTTTATGGAGTCTACCATTTTGCAAAAGCTAATTCCCACAACAAATGTGGAGTTTAGAGCTGAAAGGCTATTTTCAATGCTAGACAGATTTACTCATAACAATTGCCTGTTACCTGTGAACTAAGAATCCAGCACATCTCAGTGTCTGTGTATTCTCAATAAACCAAGAATATAGGCTGACAGCATTTTAAACTACCAGTAAGTAACAATCCTCAAAACACAATATTTAAAAAAACAACACTGAATGAATAAATAAAAATCAAAACCTCAAAAAGTCGCTTTATTCTCAGGAGAACCCGAGAGCGAAACAGCATGACAGGAAGCTTGCTGTCAGGATTGAGACTCAGTCTCTGTGTGGTGGAGTCCGCCCTGGCTCCGATAGAAATTGGAGCAGATATGAAGCCCAAAAGATTGTTGAGAAGATCACCAGTCTGTTCTATCAACAAATTAGGAAGAGCATCCAACAGGACATCAAAGATGAGAAGAGAATCCAGTTTGATATCCTCATGGACATGGTTCAAGCCACAGCACAGATAAGTGTGGATGTGCAACATGGGAAATCCTTTTGGAGGTTGACTTTGACCCACTGAAATTCTCTTGATGATCAACTGAAATTAACAGAAAAAAAAAAGGGGGGGGGGGGGGGGGGTTGAGTTTAAAAAAGCAATAAAAATCTATGTTCACAAAATACATTAGCCAACTCCACATTATCATCCATAAACAATAGCTGGTCAATACACATCAAACTTTAAGCCTGAGAGGTCACATCCAGGTGATCTGGGTGTATAACGGGCTATCTTAATTCAAGGTACAGTCAAAAAAATCAAAATGTGCAAAATCAAGTTAAATGTTTAACTTTAAAGCAACAAGTCCAAAAATGAAAATCACAATCTACTTACTTTCCTACTCAAATGCAAGCTTTATATGTGCTTTACAATCTATATTATTATTACCCCAGCAGACCTGAAAGCATTCTGAAACAATCTCAACTTCCTGGGAAGCATACAGTGCGAGCTGCCATTTTACAGAAAGCTAAAACACTAACAAACAGATAATATAAAATATAAGATCTTTCAGCCTAACCACGAGACTACCTACACCATTGGGCCTGCATTATGAAGTAAACATCAATTCATAGGACAACAAAGTAACCATATAATTCAAAAGCAAATTCTTAAAAACAAATCACTCAAATCAATCAAACGCTTCATCAAAAAAACTACTCTCAACAAAAGTTTTAACAAAACTGTTTTTAAATTTTTTTAAATGAAAAAGCACTTTTCACCTTGAACAAACTTATCACAGAATGCCTCACAACAGCTTCATTGTCAATGAACATGGTAGATATCTTTTGCAGAATGCTACCATATCCATGTTTGTTAGATGGCTGCATAAACTCTTGGTGATTGCTCAACCATAGCTCCTTCAGCCCTGCAATAGCATTGACTCTAGCACTGGACCCATAGTGATCACACTGACGCAGCAGATCCTGTGTAGAAGACATAAACGCAGAAAAACATTGTGTAACATTCACATTTAACAGCAAGTAAAAAGCAAAAAGTGGGACATAATGATATCTCCTTTTGTTTCAGTGATGAAAATGCTTTTATCATGCTCACGACGAAAAAACAGTATTACACGGATAACTCGAACTCCGGACCAGCCTCTGTAGTTTGAGGGATATCTTACAAAGATAAAGAAGAAAAAAAAAACGAGACCGCGGGCACAGTTCGATGAATGCATGACTTCGAGTCTTCTGTGTTCGACCTATCTGTGTTATACTGTACACAGTGGAACTCGGATTCAACTTGGTCGCCAGGCCTGACCTAAAATTTCGTTGAATCCAAGTGTTAGTTATAGCAAACATGAGGATTTGTGTAGATAATTACAGGCACTGAGAAAGTAATTTATAAAGAGAAGTAACAAGTGGTTGCCTGAACATGTCTGCATATTATGAGCTGGGCAACAAAAAAAAACGACTGATCCGTTCAAATGCACGCTTGTGTCATCTCGATTGTTTGACAAAAACTTGTGTTGCTGTGTTGAGTCTAGATACGGCAACTTTTCATTTCAAAGACCAACACACAATTGAATACATAGATCTACATCAAGACTAGGCCTAGCGTGTCATTGTGTATATGTAATAACGATCAGTTGCCGGGGGGGGAGACTGTGACACATTTGTATCTGCGACGTTCTACGCCCGGACCGGTGGTGCAGGTGCAACAAAAGTAAATATTCATTACATCTGTCTACTGTCTCTACAACAGTGAGACACTGAACTGCCCTAATTCATACATTAATCTTCAATAAACATAAATTTATCAAACTTCCAAACAAAACAAATAAATAAACCAATAAGATAGTAAATTATACAACTGAACATCTTGATCATTTCCCCCTTAAAATATTATGTCATATGTGAAGCTTGCTAACAAAATTAGTTAGAAATCTACTTTTCGCATTCGAAGCCAATGGAAATATGGACATCACGCTTATAGTGTCCATTTAAGGCCAATATATTGACTTGTGAATTACGGGAGATAACTCATTTTGTCAGCACTGTCATGCTGTATACCTGGACAGTGAGTTTCTTTTTCGTCACAGGTTCCTGACCATCGCCATCTCTGATCTTCTGTGTGAGCTGGATTTGCCTCGTCTTGAAACTTAAATTTGTAACATTGTCTCCCTTTGACAGCTTCTTCCCAACTTTGAGCTTCACTTTCTGAAAATCACGGTTCTTCTTTTTCTTTGACTTGGGCATTGTTAGACCTGAAAAGAATGAAAAATGAAATCAGTTGTCAAAAAGGCTAATTAATAGACTACAAAACACAAAATATCTGAAAGAGTCATCAGTCCCATCAGAAAACAGTGGTCCAGTCAAAACTTCACACTTACGAAGTGCTTTCCTTATCGTTCTGATAATTCCATGCCCGTCAGTCTTACTAATTAACTATGCACTAATTCATTGACACCAGTGCTCGCATCTCATGAGAACCACTGTCTGACTAAAAACAAAACAGATAGAAAGTAATCTTTGCTGTTTCAACCTGCAGCCCCACCAATCAATATAAGAAGCACAATCAACAAAAACCTCTCTCCACTGCAAAGTAACGTTCAGGGAACTTTTTTATTGGCTGGCCATACGAAGGGAAGCAGGCACTGGTCAAATTTCACACCCACGAAAAGGTCCATGCTGATGCACCAGTTCACAGCACTTTGAAGACATGCAGAGGTCAGACTCTACATATGTCATAAACACCACCCTGACCATCAGCACTGCTCAGGGCTCACAGGGGCCGGAAAACACTAATACAGCAACCACCAACCCGCATATCTACCCCCCCCCCTCACCTGGTGACATGGCATAAAGTGCTAGGGCCATTGGAATGAAACTTAGTAGGAGTTTTATCAAACCATGGCTGAGTAGTGAGTAGTCAGAGTAGGCAAAGCATTCTGCCTCTGAAGGGAAGGAATATTTCACCCAGTTTTATCCATTTGAATGAGTAGAATCTAAAAATCTAGATCTAGATCTAGGCCTAGATCTATACTAAATCTAGATCAGAGTGTCTATGTACACAGTAACCGGGCACCTAGTCTCAGTACACCGTAACCGGGCACCTAGTCTCACCTAGTCTCAGTACGTACACGGTAACCGGGCACCTAGTCTCAGTATCTACGTACACGGTAACCGGAATTAAAATAAATCAATATATTTGTCCTGTGCTGTCACTTGCTGGAAAAAAAAAAGGAGGTCATTCAAGAGTCTTGTCGGGCTCGCCATCGTGACCAGTAGTCAGTGAACCTGGGCGTGTGCATCTCATTGTGAGTACCGGTTGGGGTCACCAAAGTTCATTCAAAATCTGTGCGCACCGAAGCATAGGGCTCCTGAATGGAGGGGATTATTGATTTTTTTTTTAAGGTACAGTCGGGGGAGGGGTGGGGATGAAGGCAACACCGGATGACAAAAACTGAAGGAAGAGGCTAGCCGTACTTAATGACGGCTAGACTGGCAGTCTAGCCGTACTTAAGTACGGCTAGACTCGCAGTCTAGCCGTACTTATTCTTAATATAATGGCTAGACTGACCATTTACAAAAAATAGGCCTACTGAATTGTAAATATACATTTTTAGGGTGCAGTACCTAAAGCATTTGTATTTGAGACGAAACCAGGTGCCTTAATGACAGTGTATGTATTTTAAAACCTCCTGTTTTCTAATGTTAATAGGGCCTAAGATAAGTACGGCTAGACTGGCAGTCTAGCTGAACTTAAGTACGGCTAGACTTCTTGTCTAGCCGTACTTAAGTACGGGTAGACAGCCAGGCTAGCCGTACTTAAGGACGGCTAGACTGTCAGGCTAGCCGTACCTAATATTGATGGCTGTATTGTAAATGAAATTTTTAGTTTGCAATGCCAAAAGTATTTGTATTTCAGACAAAACCAAAAGGTGCCTTACTGACTTGCATGTATTTGAACCTGAATAATTACTAGATCTAGGTCTAATGAGACCTGTGTACTTAACAGGCTTGAACTTGAGTCGATTGGGCCAAACCTAGATCTAAGTACGGCTAGACTGCCAGTCTAGCCGTACTTAAGTACGGCTAGCCACTTCGAAAACTGAACTGCACGGTTACAGTGTACGCGACACTGAGACTACATGCCCGGTTACCGGTTACCGTGTACGTAGATATTGAGGCTACATGCCCGGTTACCATGTACATAGACACTGAGGCTAGGTGCCCGGTTACCGTGTACGTGACATAGACACTCCGAATCTAGATCTAAATCTAGATTTAGATTTTCTAGATCTAGATCTAGATATAGATCTAGAACCGAGTCTAGCCTTGGTGAAGTTAATTTCTAAAGTTGACATTGATTCCTTGTTTTCAATGAGCGTATTGTCAACTGTAGTCCAAAGTGAGGGTCTTGCATTACCGTAAGGATAGGCCTAAAGCCTGAAAAGAAAGTGAAAGTGGAAAACAGTTTAAACAGACAAGACAGGCAGACAGGCTGAACTGAAAACACAGTTCTTGATTATAGTTTTTTGTTTGTTAGTTCGTTCGTTTTTGCTAAGATGTGATTAAAAATTGTTAAAGTGTTTAATACCTTGTTAAAATATATTTCAATAACAACACCAGAGTTTGCACTCAAATCACCAAAGAATAACAAATCCAAAGAGTCGTAGTGGCACAGTCCCACGTTTCTCTGTAAACACCGGATCGGATTTCGTTACTTTCAAAATCCTTGTTTTATAAAACATGAAGAACGCTTAAAAGTCTAATTAATTGGAATTTTATTCCGGGAACAAACAAAAATTGATAAAATATTTTGGAATTTTGTTTTAGTAAGTTTTACGGCATTTTGTATCAAAATTAGGTTAGATAAATGTGGAGATTAGATTTGTCACTAGAGACTAATACAAAGAAGAGAAGGAGGGGAGATAAGGTATTTGTCAGATGTTGGAAAGGAAAGAAGGAGCAATTATTAAGCCACACCAGAGCACCCACCAACCACCATACGTTTTTATTTTGAGGAATGTCAGGCATGTTACAAGTTATTATAAGCGACAAGGTTGATGAGACCCTGGTAGAAC